TCACGTCCCCGTGGAGTGAGAGAGCGAGGAAGAGAAATGTCATGTGGGAGAGAGGGAGAGAAAGAGAGGGAAACAGGGGGTAAGTGTGTGAGTGGGGTGAATCGAGAAAAAAGTGTCAGAGAGAAAGACATAGTGAGTGAGATATTGAATTTATTGACAGGGGACTGGCTTTTAACTTCTCAATTTCTTTCTCCTTTCCATGCTTGAAATTTGCGTTGGTCTTGTTCCCGAGTACTGAACACCTAGGAAGTCCTTGAGCAACCCATCAGCCAATAAGGACGCTGAGGCATCTGTACAATATCTAAATAAATAAACACAAATATAAACAATCTGGATGAACTAGAACCCAACCCCCAGTGGAGTGGCACAACCCGGTCCTCCCCTACTACCCCACAACTCCAACAGTGCCGCTTGTTGTGATCCACAACTGTGCAGGAAAAACAAAACAAGAGATGATGGTTTCGTCGCCGTGAAGGAGAATACTTTTCATGTTAAAAGGCCACGTGCAGAAACAGTGGCTTGTTAAACGCTAACGCCTATATATGATCAAGCAGCTTATACACATCACCAGAAACATTAATCATTTGAATACTTTTAGGATTAAAGGAGCATCTAAGCTATCAATTATATTAGGATTTTATATGTAAGATAAAGGAGGACTTGAATGTACTATTATAATACTTTGTATTTATCTGTATTGTAAAATCACTGTTTATGTCAAATAGATAACATTTGCAACTACTGGATTTTAATATTATGAATTTGAATATGATATCTCTCTTTCTTTCTCTCTCTGTTCCTTCATCTCTCTAATTCTTTCCTTCCCGCTCACTCACATTCTTACTCCGCAACATCCGTCTCTCTCTCTCTCTCTCTCTCATTCAATCTATCCTTTCTTTTTTCTCCTTCTCTCTCTTTCTCCTCTCTCTCTCTCTCTCTCTCTCTTCTCTCTCTCTCTCTCTCTCTCTCTCTCTCTCTCTCTCTCTCTCTCTCTCTCTCTATCCTCGCCAATCCTCCCTCTTTATTCTTTCTTATTTTAAGGAATTCTCTGCTCTCAGGTTCCTCTCACCTTTAATGTTTCTAAATCCTCATCTTTCTTTGCAACAGCATCCTTCAAAGAGGCAATTTCCTTTTTCATCTCCACAGCTTTGGCATCCTTCTCTCGCATCTTCTCTTGTATGTCTTTTTTGTCTTTTTCGTAGCTTTTCTGTAAGAAAGAAAGCGTCACGTCATGGCGTCATTTCATTGGTATCTGAATATGTAAGTGTGTTTGTGTGTGTGAGTACCTGTGTGTATTTTTGCATCTTTATCAAATTTATTTTGTAAATATCTCAAACTCAAAATATATGTATATAAATACACATCACAACACACACACACACACACACACACACACACACACACACACATATATATATATATATATATATATATATATATATATGTGTGTGTGTGTGTGTGTGTGTGTGTGTGTGTGTGTGTGTGTGTGTGTGTGTGTGTGTGTATGTATGTGTGTGTGTATATACATATATATATATCCATATTGGTACACTTGGCAAGAATACTTGCCATGCCTACAGTTATATAAAGTTATTTATTGTCTCTACACATAGATGGCTCTGCAAGTACTTACTCACCCAAAAATTAGTTATCAGTACTACTTATCTCACCTGTTTACCATTTTCCTTGATTTTTGCAACGCTTCTTTTATGTTATTTTATTGTCTTTGAATTGATAATTCCAAGTAATAATCAATATCAGTAAGAATAATATTCTCATTATAAATAGTGTTAGAAGGAAAGACATTTTTCCGCCATTTCAAGGAATGGGTAAGTCAGGCGGCATCACTAGACACTCCTTGGTGGCAGAGTGCATGTGGAGCCATCTGTATGTAACAAAATTCACTAAATGCTTGAGGGGACTGCACATAAATCCGAGGCGGTTAGGCTAGTTTTGCGTAAATACCTTAAAAACTTAACTTTCTATGGATATATACATATGTATAATTTTTTATGTAACATATGTATTCATATGTATGTATATATGTATTATTTCACACACGCGACACACACACACACACACACACACACACACACCACACACACACACCACACACATAATATAATATATATATATATATAATTATATATATATATATATAGATATAGAATATAGAAATATATAGATAGATAGTACAATCTGTACATTATCTAAAAAAAATAAAACAAATATAAACAATCTGGATGAACTAGAACCCAACCCCCAGTGGAGTGGCAACAACCCGGTCCTCCCCTACTACCCACAACTCCAACAGTGCCGCTTGGTTGTGATCTTTACAAACTGTGCAGGAAAAACAAAACAAGAGATGATGGTTTCGTGCCGTGAAGGCGAAATACTTTTTCATGTAAAAGGCCACGTGCAGAAACAGGGGCTTGTTAAAGTCTAACGTAGTAGAGTTAGGCTCTAATAAATATGATCAAGCAGGTACTTATATCACCTG